AGATACAACTCAGTTGAGGTTCCGTCTATGGACAGAGACTTGGTTGAGAAAAGCAGACAATAAATGTACCTGATCCTGTGGTTGCAGAGACTGGATAAATGTTGTCTGTTAGCCTGTGTAGACATGCTCAGGTTTCCCCACAATAATCTTGACCTTGTGTCACATCTCATTTTAGCGGGGGGACTGAGCAAATGCCAGTTATCATTATTTACATTTGGACTATTATTCTCATCTTTGTTGTTGTTATCATGTTTCAGCCATTGTGCCCTCTGGCCTTCTTTAGGTGTATATTGTTGCGGGTCTCACTACTTTTGTTATGACGTGTGGACATCTTTTCAGTAAATATTTAATAGCTCCTGGTACATTTGTCCTACAAACAATATTTGACTAAATCATGGAATTTTAACAAATAAGCATTAATAATTATATTAAATATAGGCTGTTCTAGACAATCTATCCCTAGACCAGAGCAGTGAAACAAAAAGATTACCCCTGTAGATTAAATAAAGGTTTCAGTTCATAATTTCTTGTAGTGTACCTGAATTGATATACACCTGATGAAGGCTGGAGTGAATAACAGACAAAACATGATAACAATAACAGAAGCTTTCTATTTTGTTATCACTATACAAAGGGTGAATATTCCATTGCTGAATAGAATTTCTTTCAGTTCATAATAGAATATTTATTTTCATTTTTTTTTTATCAATGTCCAATTGTATGACTGCTTTCAGGAAGGAAATTGCTTTGGATATAACAAAAACAGTTTACTGTCTTATCTTGAACACACCTTAAGTCAACCTATTAACATTTATTACAACACAGATGCATATTTTGTGCTTTGCTGCGTCTGACAAATATGCATGCATCTGGAATGTAGATTCCCTGTGTCTTTTCTATAAATATTTTTATGGTAATTGTTTTGATGATAAAAGAGATGAAATAACTTGTGTAGTAGCAAATATAGTTTGATTAAAATTGAATTTTCTTTAAGTAATATGGGTGTTAACTATGCTGACTCTTGTGGTCCTACCGAGGATTGAATTCATGATCCTTGGCTAACAAATTTCTGAAGATATTAGACTCCTACTCCTCAGCTTAATGGATGCTTTTTAGGCAGTGGCAATAGCCGACTTGTCCCCATTCCTGCCAAAGTGGATTTAACCTTTAAGCATTATTTAAGTTTCTCCTCGGCAAGTATATTTCTATTGTCTGTCTGTTACTCAGTTTATTGAGCAAGATCCTGTTTTCTCAATAAGTATCAGGAAACAAGACCATGTAATGAACAAAGTAGGTACAGTAATATTATAAATAGCTTTATTATTACATCCTTGTAAACATTTGAACTTTTAGATAAAACAAAGGAATATATGCTGCTGAGAAGTAGGGGGGATCCTCTATGTTACATGTAAAGCCAGATGAAAGGTTTAAGTAATTTACAAATATTCTAAGCAAATAAAATTTAAAAAAAAAAAATGATTCTTTAGCAAAATTCTTATAAAGTCTAAAAGAAAGTAAATTTGATCTTGTAGCACAATTGACAATTCATTCTTTTTTGTACTTAAGAGAGATAAAATGATAGAAAATAGATTTTTTCCTCCGCTGTATCTCAAACATCTTGTGTTTTTCATTTACTTTTTCTCTAAACAATGAGCTAAATTTTTCTGCTGAAATGAAGTGGAAAAATTATATTAAATAAATTGTGAGGTCTGCTGCTAGCAAAGTTGGTTCATTGTGTCATGCTAGACAATTTTTCTTTCCAGAATCAATCTTACATTTAGAAGTTTACCATTCATACACGGATTTTGTTGTCAATATGCTTCTGCTATATATTTAGAGATTCTTGATAAAAACCAAAGAAGAATCTGCAATGTTATTGGTCCTGACCTGGCATCTTGACTTCAGCCACTTTCCCACTGCTGTAACATAGCTTCCTTGTGCCTTTTCTATAAATATTTTCATAGTAATTGTTCTGGTAAGTTTTCCTCTTTAGTATTGAGACTTTATGAATTTAAGCGCAGTACTAGATTGTCAGCTAGATTTTATCATTTTACAATTGAAATGGCTACAAGTAACCAGGAGTTCTATGCTAACAATTTCTTCTTTCACGGAACTCTTCTGGCTTCTTGTTTTCCAGTTAACTTTAATCTTAAGAAATTTAAATGCATTGTTAATTGTCAATATCTGTCTTCTTTTATTGTTCTCTCTTTTTAATGTTTTCATTTTCTCATATTCTCTCCCAACCAATAACCCCTTGTGCCTTGGTGGCTTTATTGCATTGCTTGGGTCGAAATGATTAAAAAACAAAAAAAAATTAGTTTTAAATAATTTCTAAGACTATTTTCTGCAATGGGTCAAAAACAGAAGTAAGAGTTCTTTAGAAATCTTGAATCCAATGTTAATCCTTATCTTCAGTCTTCTTAATTCTTTTTCTTCTACTGTTTTCCCTCCTAAATAGTTGTTCTCATATTTTTTCACTCAGTAACTCCTGTTGTTTTAGTGACTTTATTGCTTCTTTTAAAGTGAAATGATTAAAAAAAAATTATATTGTCATTTTTTCATAATACACCATTTAAAATTTTGTTGATGTTTTCTTTATTTCTCATTTTTTAATCTTGATTTTTTTCAGCTGATTATTAGTAAAAGAAAAATGCATTACAAAGTATTGGTGAAAAAGAGTTGGTATTAATGATAAACATTAGTATCATTATTTATTGTTTAATAAATTTCATCTTATTTATGAAAATAAAGAATAAGTAGTCTTATATAGCAATGTCTAATGGTAACTAAAAACAACAAAAAACAAAAACAAACAAAAAACAGAAAAAAAAACAGAAAAAAACAAAAAAAAAAAAAACAAAAAAACAAAAAAAAAACAAAAAAACAAAAAAAACAAAAAAAACAGAAAAAACAAAAAAACAGAAAAAAAAAAAAAACAGAAAAAACAAAAAACAGAAAAACAAAAAAACAGAAAAAACAAAAAACAGAAAAAACAAAAAAACAAAAAACAAAAAAACAGAAAAAACAAAAAAACAGAAAAAACAAAAAACAGAAAAAACAAAAAAACAAAAACAAAGAACAAAAAAAACAGAAAAAAACAAAGAAAAAAACAAAGAAAAAAACAAATAAAAAACAAAAACAAATAGAAAAAACAAAAAACAAATAGAAAAAACAAAAAACAAATAGAAAAAACAAAAAACAAATAAAAAAACAAAAAACAAAGAAAAAAACAAAAAACAAAGAAAAAAAACAAAGAAAAAAAACAAAGAAAAAAAACAAAAAACAAAGAAAAAACAAAAACAAAAAAAACAAAAACAAAAACAAAAAAACAAAAACAAAAAAACAAAAACAAAAAAAAAAAAACAAAAAAAAAAAAAAAAAAAAAAAAACAAAAAAAAACAAAAACAAAAAAAACAAAGAAAAAATAAAACAAAAACAAAAAAAAAACAAAAACAAAGAAAAAAAAAAACAAAGAAAAAACAAAAAAAAACACACACACACAATTATATAAGAGTTCAAATACCTAAAATAGGAATTAATGCGTTAATCCATTTTCTACAAAGTTATGCAAGATTTGGGTTGTCACATTGAAAATAATAATCTCTACATGCTATTTATTAGTCTTTCATGTGGGGGGAGGAGATCAGCATTCTGATTCAATGTGAGCCCCACAGAGGGCCCCCTATGCTGATGACATAGATATTCATAGTTAGGATAAGAAAATCAACATGATTCAGCAAATGTTCCAAGAAATAGGACTCAAAATAAATCTTTGCAAAATAGAAACTATGATCTGGGATTGGAATGAAAGCAGTGATGCCACGTACTCTGAATCCATCATCAAGATTTATGATATAGAATTTGTAATTACTAAACACTTCAAATAAACTTGGTGTATAGATCGGTTATAACAAATTTAGTATAACAGATAAAGAAATAGGCTGTACTAAATAGAGTTTCGCCCAACACCACAAATTGCTCCAAACATTAACCTGAAAACTTGTCATGTGCTTAAATAGCCTCATCAGATGGAAACTTTCATAAAAATGTTATGCATGGCACCAAATCAGATAGGAAATATCTAAACTGTCAGCTGTATACAACTGCATTCTAAGATCAATCGTGAAAAATGACTTTCAGCCTATGGGTCTTGGTCAAAACCATACTTCTTGGTGGACTGGCACAAAGAACTGTAGCAGATAACAGAAACCATATCACTTGAGGACTATCAACAATTAAAATGGATATGACATATAACTCAAATAGAAAATTATAATATAATCAAGATGTTGATATTCCACACTACCTCAAACAAAAAGTCAGCAAGTAAAAACCCCATCAATGCTCATATGGTTTGATGAGAAAGATTTTCATAAATTTCAACTGAAAGTAATACTGGTTATTCAGTCAATGAACACTGAATGTTTTCTTATAAGGAAAGCGCTAATATTACCATTATTAAAACTAACAGAATCAATTTAAAATATTGCATTCAAGTCCAATGTTATTTATCCCATTCTGCTGATAAAACTACACCCAAAATATCACTGATAATTTTTCTCAGTCATTATCTACAAATAAAAAGACATTTACTCCCATGAAAAGACAAGTTACCACCAAAAACTGTATCTTACTTCTAATGACCAATAGTCTATAGTTCAAAGGAAGTGGCTAGTTGCAATACTAAACACAAGAGATGAAAAGAAAGTATATAATGTCATTTATTGAGAGGAGGGTAGTATACATTAAAGCATTAATAACATTGACAATACATCTCAAATACTTTTAGCAGTATTTTTTTGATACAAGGTATGACAGAAATACCTCCCACATAATGGTAAGAAATTAGTGTCAATGGTATCTTCATCTAGCTAATTCTTACCATTATGTTTGGCAGTATATCTGCAACACCCTTTATTTTTTAAATATTTAAAAATTAATTTTAAAAAATATACTTATAAACTTTTAACAGAATACAGTGAACAAAATATGCTGGTTACCTTTTTGGGAGGCATTTCCAGTTTCCATCTAAGTACTCTTGCGAATCCATGATGTGGTCCATATTTCCAAGGCCCAAATTTAGCTAAAGATAAGAAATAGAATTTTTAGGAAATGAGTGAAATAATTTTTAAATCAGGCTTGATTTATATTATAATACAATTACATATTTAATAAAATGTATTGATATGTTTGCATTTTATAATTCTTTTTAAATAATATTTCTTTGTACTATGAATGAAACCAATTAATACACAGGCAAGAATAAAATAAAAAAACAAAAAAAAAGAGAACCTTGGCTGATAAAATGCACAGAATGGAAGAGACAAAAGGATTGAAAATCTTTATATTTTATTTTAATAATTTCACCCCCAAGGAAGGCAATAAAGCCACAAAGACACAAAGCATTACTGAGTGTGAGAAAATATGAGAAAAAGAAAACACCCTGCACATCCACGCTTACAGCACCTGGTATTCCCAGGCTCAATTTCAGTGATTGTAGAAGAACAGATGTTTCAACATATGACTGTAAGCCATATATATTATACTAGCAGTAGAGCCCGGCATTGCCCGGGGATGTAACAGTAAGAGATAGATCAAGTATCAACCATCATAAAGACTGAAAAATAAAATTGACAAAGACTATTGTTTAAGGTTGACGGACACGTTTTTTTTTTTTTTTAATTGGTCAAACCCAAATTCAAACAAAACATTGTTTACAATCGTTATGAGTCTATCGATTGGTGAATAGAATTTTATTATAAACAATTGTCTTGTAAATGGTATTTTTAAAGCATTCTGAATGTAAATAAAGAAAAAAGTGTGCAAGACAATAAGAAATACTACCTGCTGAAAAAAAAAGTGGATGTTTGTTTTATCGGCTGAAAAATGTAAGAAATCCGATCCCATATATAAAGGAACACACACACACACACAAACAACCTGGGTTTTTTAACCTAAGTCACTCCACGGAATTGCTAAAACATAGAGCATAGTCTGATGAAAAAGACGCCAAAGTTTATGAAAACAAAATTTTATCGTCAAAATGCTTATGTTTTTATGAAGAGGATAGACTAAATTTTTTTAAAATTATTTTTTAAAATGTTTCCATCTTTTTAGAATATTCTAAATTTTGATTTAAAAACCTTGTTTCTCTTTTGTCGCAACAAGGGGTAGTAAATAACATGGATAATTTTAGCACGTTTTTTTTTGTATTTACACATTAATTTGGAAAATCTTGCAAAAATAAAAATAATTGTCAGATGTTAATGAAACTTTCAGAAACTATTCACAGATGATCAAAATTATTATAAATATGTTTTTTTTTTATTAAAGTCATGGCAGAAATATTTTTTTTTTATGTTTATCAAAAAAGTACAAAAAAAAAAAATAAAATAAAATAAAAAATAAAAAAATTAGAGCGCTGAAAGTTTTCCTTAAAAGTAACAAGGTAAATAATTTGTTCACTTAAATAATTTCACTTCCTTCCATCCGTAGAAAGAATTCTCCTCCCGTAAGTTATCTAAACGTCATGAATGTGCCTTTTCGTCAATCATCATGTGTGACGTGAAAGGTTATGACCTGCTTTGTTTTATTTTCAAATTACATTTTTTCGCACAGGAGCTAAGTTAAGCTTGGTTCAAAAATATTTTAAATAAACAGTATAATATCTGTTTTATTAAAATCAGTTTTGAAAAATGATAATTGACTTTTAAAAGAATATCAAAGTAAGATTTTAATCTTTTTTATCAAATCGAAAAAATGATTGAAAATGATTATCTTTTTTTTTTTTGACAAAAAAAAAAAAAAAAAAAACAATATTTTTAACGAAAATTTCAGACGTGCTAGGAACGATTAAAAAATGTAAAAAATACCCCCAAAATACTTTGATCTTTCCTCTTTAATAATAATATGAACATTAGATGATAAAATTTTGTTTTAAATCAAGTTTACGCGTCTTTTTTTCATCATGCTATGCTCTTTTGTTTACATTTTCGTGGGGTGAGTTCTCCCCTTTCATTCTCACGATGTGTCTTAATCGTGTTTTCAAATTGATTTTATTAAAAAACAACTGTATTTTTCCCATTTTCGGCCCCGTTAGAACCACCACAAGGTAATTTTATGTAGTCCTGTGAAGTTTTGTTGAAATCAGCTAAAAAATGTAGGAAATTCGATCCAACATCTAAACATTACACACACAATCTGTGTTTTATAATAAGTAAGATAAATGGCTGGCCACTTATACCCAAGGATACCCATCTATGAGGGGGGCTGGCCAATCAGGCACATTTGAGTTTGTTCAACACCCACAGAACCCACTTGTGGTTTATACTGAAACTATGCTGAGTGGACATTAGTTACAGTTTCTGGGAAGGGGCATGTTATCTAATATGATCAACAGTCTGAACAAAGCCAGCATGCTCAAACCCTCAGTCACGATGACTTATTGTGGCACCCTGCATTATTAGAAAAAAAAACTAAAGAAAAGAAATATTCATAGAAATATGATTTAATTTTTTTTTTATTCGGTTTATTAACCAGTTGTTAGTTTTTTAGACGAAGAATAATTGAGTTTCGAGAATAATTCTCTAATTGTACTTAGGCGATCCTAAGGGAAGAAAAAAAAGAAGGAAAAAAGAAAAAGAAAATGAGTAATGCAAAAGGCCGGTAGCGAAAACAGGTGTCAAGAGGCCAACGCGCCCGACCGAATTTCAAGTGACAATGGATTGTTATTTGGGAGAATAGAATTAAAGGTAATTAAAAGAAAGAAAGAAAACAGGCTTGGTAAAAGTGTATGAACATATGTACAATTGATAAAAATGTCGGTCAAAGCATCTGGCCTACTTTTGTGTAGAAGACTCATTATCAATTTGGAGAAATGGGATTTTTAGAACAATGGAAAACGAAATATTAATCGGAGAAAGGTGTCTTTTGGGATGAGAAGGTGACCGCTGGAATTGTATACAGATTCTGACCTGTTAAAAATTGGAACCCCCACGATGATGAAGTGAAGACATTTTCAATTCAGATAATTAAGATTTTTGACTATCAGGTCTGAGCAAAAACAAAGAGGTGAAAACGATTGTTCTTGGCTCACAGAGAGCGCCAGTAAGGCGGAGAAAATTCTTCCTGAAGTCACATCTAATTAGCGGCGGGCTGTTTTGACAGAGACCAGGAAGGTGAGAAAGGCGAGATTGTCATTTTTAGACGTGCGAAAAAAAAAAGGCCAAATTAGATTTTTTGTTTTTTTTTTTAGCAAGGTGTTCTTTCCCAGGACAACGACGGGATAAGCCACGCCCAATTGAAGACGTCACAAAAAACGGGAGACGCCCAACCAGAATCTCATGGGCGAAGCGGTCACGTGATATGTGAGAAAGAGGAGAAAGGACTTTCGATCAAGACCCATTGGTCGAAAACGGGTCACCTGACATACGAGAGACCGGGAGAGATGGGTATGCACCCCCCCACCAGAGGCACTGTGAGGAAGTAGGGGTGAAAATAATAGCGATAATGGGAAATCAGAAATAATGCGACTTTTGGAATTATCGAGAAAACCCTGACGCCGACAGACCCACCCCAGTTTGTTAGGGCGCCAATAAAAGCAGGACCCCAGTCGACAGAAATCAGTTGCAGCTGGACCCTGCGGACAGCGAGGGAGCTTGAACACGGGCATCAGGCCCGGTTCATTCGCCACTTTGCGGGCAAGAGAATCCTAAGACAAGAAATCCTTCCAGCCCAAGTCGAAGAAGAAGAAGATTGCTCGAAAGCCGCAGAGAAGTTGCAGCCAAGTCGAAGATAAGAAGAAGAGCTGCAGGCCAGACAGGCCGAAGAATTGCAGGCCAGACAAGAAGAAGAGTTGCAAGCCAAACAAGCAGATGAGTTCAGCCCCGGACGGCAGCGAGAAGGGTCCACCTCAGACGGCAGAGAGAAGAGTTGCAGGCCAGACAGGCAGTAAAGTTGCAGGCCAAACAGAGAGCTCAGTTCAGCCCCGGACGACAGAGAGCTCAGATCACCTCAGACGGCAGAGAGAAGAGTTGCAGGACGGAAGAAGAAGAAGTTACTTGCAGTTATGCATAGAAGAAGTTGAAATCAAACCAAGCCCAAGAACAGAAATTCGTCTCAAACCAAATCGGAAGTGAAGAAATACGTCCAACTCAAGCCCGAAGAGAAGAATCAGCCGTGAACGACTGGTAGAGATTAGCGCCCAGTGTCAAAACTAAACCACACTCCGACACACAGAATTCTAGAGAGTAGGCAACTCAAGTCTTTAAGTTGTATGATAGAAGCTTGGTGCCACAGTCCACAAAGCGGGTCGGGAAGTAAGAATACTTTTTATGTAACGAACATTAGATATAAAAGGTTGTTACCCTTTTTTTATCAGTAATTTGTGGTCTCGTGAGTTTTTTTCTTTTACTTGTGTTTTGCCACCCCCGTCGAACTCAGCTTGCATACGGCCCCAATCCCTGTTTGATCCTGTCTGTCTAAGATCTAATCACAACGTGGGTAGGCAGACCGGAGATCAGTACAGTTACCCTGGTAACCAGGTGTTGGAAGCGAGTTGGGAAAGGCGAGGCTGGTAATCATCTAACCAAGGGGTTGGAACGTCACACTTGGAGCGACCCGGAGGAGCGACGTCACCGTTGGCGCCGTGACCAAAGGATTCGACCCTGGACCAAGTGCCGTCACATTATGACTTTGTGCTAGCACAAGCATTGACAGCTCCCAAAGAGTTCTGTCTGCCCAAATTTACTTACAAAGCTTGGGTCAACATGTTTGAGGCTCCTTTCTCATTAGTTAACCTACTTAAGAACCCTTCTCCTCCTTTAAACAATCGTAATTGTGTGCTATAGTTATCAGGAACTTTCCAAAGGTGCCACACACTAGATTCGCCTCACTCAGACCAATAACATCAAGTTACCTTCCTGACAAATCAACCAACCATGGTGAGATTCAAGCCCAGGTCTCATAGACAGAAAACAAACATTCTTACCTCTTGGTATGTGTATATATATATATATATATATATATATATATATATATATATATAATGAATGACATTACTGAGCTTCTAGATTTAACCAGGGT